CATTGCCACAGTGCAGCCACCAGACGCCTACTGGGATCAGACATATACATAGTATACCCAGTGTGCATAGGTGTGCACAAGCTTTCAAGGGGAGCAAGAACACCACACTGCAATGGGAACATTCCTCTAAGCCTGGTAGTGCTACAGCATGCAGGTCCTACACATGTTTTTGTAAATAAAGTTTTATTGGAATGTGGCCATATCCTGTTATCTCTGGCTGCTTTCACATTATACATGCAGAATTGAGTAGCTGCTACAGAGACTGCAGGGCCTGATATTTACTGCCTGATCCTGTTCAAGAAAAGTATGTGAACCTCTGTACCTAGGGATGCATTTCCCGTATGAGGGTTAGCTGGTAAACCCTAAGCCATAGAGGATGAGGACATGACGTGTGTTTTGCTGAAGCAGATTTGAGTCAAGCCTAATTCTTCCCTATTCAACCAATATTTCTTTATTATGGAGGTGCTATTATGTGAAAGTCTTGGCTCAGGTCTGGGCTTACAGAAGTGAATAAAGCTGAGACCTGCTGCCTAGAGGAGCCAAGAGGATAGAAACAATTTCAATATGACTTGGTGAGACATTAGAGTAGGAGTTAATGTTTTATTCCTCCTATAAAGCACACCCTGACCTTTATGTTCTTTAAAACTTTGAAATTCTAAAACCATAACCATGGGCTAGGATTTCTCTCTATCAAGCTCATTTTCTCTCATTTTTGTTTTAAAAGCATAAATACTAGAGATGAAACTCTCTTTCTGTGAAGCTACCCATTAACTTTTGTCGGAAAGATCAACTTACAGGGATCCCTCCCACCCTCTACCCCCAATTCCCAAATTTGCTCCAGACTCTTTAATACACAGTTCTAATCTCCATGTTGAGAATGAAAAAAAGAACAAGTATTGAGACATCAGGGGAAATACTGTCAGTTAAAGAGCTGGACATTTTATTTTTATTGGAAAAAATTTTTATTACAAATTATTGAGTTTGATAACACTATCAAGTGCTGGTTACTACAAGTCACCAAATTAAATGCAGCCTAAATCAGAGGAATCATAAGAACTAGGTTGAAGAATGAAGTTAGAGAGGACCTCAGAGTCATGCATCTCTGCCTTTCTGCATTTCTGACACCCCGTTTAATGATCAAATCACAATCACCATTGTAAGTTATGAATTCCTGTGGACATCTGTTTTCTGGCTCATGGACATTTGTTTTTTAAGATTGAGTTTTTAAATGTCAATCCACATTAACTGGGTCACATATTAACCTTCCACAGCAAGAAACATGAGGAATGGGGAGGAATCCAGTTTCCACCAGGATTTCATTATCTCCTATCTGTCTTTGCAACTCCAACTAGGTATCAGGTGAATTAAGGGGAAAACCAATTTCTACATCCCTTGGATGTGATGAAATTGATTATCCTCAGGCAGAGCAAAAGAAGACAGAAAATAACAGGTGCCACTTCACATCTGCGTATCTCTCTACCCTGAGATCTGTTTATTTGTACCAGTTATTGACAACGTTTTTGTATCATACAAAAAAGGTTTTTTTTATTGAGCTTCAAAAGTAGAAACAGGATGCATCTGTTTCTAGGGAAACCTGAGCTTGGAAACTGTTGGATTTTGAATCACAGAGTGCATTCCTACACACATGGTGGCCCATTGTACAGTGACATCCCTTCCTCTTCATTTACCCTATCCCATTTAAAAAAATTAATGCAACAATGGGAGATGATTGTTGATGCTCATTATTAAATCATTTATTCATCCCACACAATGATTCAGAATTATTCATTAAACTTGCTGGAAGGAAGCAGGGTTCTGCCTCCATGATGGCTTGGGGAGGGATGTGTTCTTTAAAAGGATATTTTATAACAACACAATTATCATAATTAAAAGCTACCCTGATAGTCTGATGAGTGGTTGACATATTTTTGAGCACTGGCATTTTAGCACAAGGAGATAAATGAGACTGAAATGGTATTAGGGGATAATATTGCTGTGGGCAACTGAAGGCAACACTGAATACCATCTGCTATCACCACCTCAATTCTATCATGGTCTTTAAGTTTACAAAACATCAGCTGAACTTTGGCTTTCCACAGTAAGTTCTAATTCTGTTGCAGTTTCCCCAGATGATGTCTGTATTCTGAGCCCTGTTTGTGCATGTGCCCACAAGGGCCCGCTCACTTGTGCCTCCCAGCCCAGCAGGTCATAGCCTGTGGCCCCTGCATCAGCACCTAAATGGCATCTTTCCGCTCAGGGTGCTCAGTCTTGTTCTATGTCTAAAGGTCACTGAGCAAAGGCCCTGGCTTGGCTAGCCATTCAGACAGGCAGGGGATGGCAGGAAGGGGACCTACTTCGCACTTTTCCTGTATAGCAGGTTCAGGGGATGATTCCAAGGCCAGTGGTCAAAAGGAGGCAACTTCTCATCCCCAAAGGCGGTGCTTGGGGGAGAAGTGGGAGGGGTACACTTGGGGGGAAAAATAGATGTCTGAATGGCCCTTGAAGGCCCCAGGGTGGATGCTGGTAGAGAGATGCACACAGGCTTCCCCAAGACCAGAGAGGCCGCGGGACAGGACTGAGAGTCTGAAAACACCTCAGGAAGCTGGGCCAGAGCTCTGTGGGGGCCCAGGCTTGCCTATGCCTTGCTGAGCCCAGGACGGGGCTGCATAAGAAGTGAGTATGTCAGTCTAGCTGCAGGAATGTGAGCCAGCATGAGCCTTCCTCACTCTGCAAGCACTGGTGGAAGGTGGCTGTGACTGACTGCCTGAACTGGCCTCCTAAGCACAGAGGTGAAGGGACATCTGAGCTAGAAGGCTGCCTGGAGCGCTGACTGTTCAGGGAGGCATTAGGTGCTGGGGTTGAGATAGCTGAGGAAGAACTGGGTAGGGGCCATCACACCAAAGGGACTGAGTAAGCTTGGCCAAGTGCAGGGAAGAAGCTGGGGGAGGCAGGGACTCTGGGAAGGGCATGGACAGGTGCTGGGGCCATGTGCTGGGGTGAGGGGTTCCCAGAGAGTCAGGCTGTGAAGCTGTACACCTCCGTGGCTGCTGGGTGGTGAATGCATGGGTGGAAAAGTGAGCCCAGTTCAGAGCTGACGCTGGGACCAGATGAACATGATGGCCTGAAGAAGTGACCCGGCTGGAGAGATGAAGGAGGGGGAATTAAAGGGACTTGGAATGTCAGAGCTCCCCTCATGGCCCCTACTGGATGCAGGACCATCCAAATGCCAGGGCCTGATGCCTTGGAAGAGTGGACCAAGGACCACCTCTGCTATCTAGTGCTACCAAGCCACCTCCTGATTATGATGTGGCTTCCAACATAGCCCCCTACAGGAGAGGATGCTATGTGGCTGGGGATAGGGCTCCATCCTGCCCTTGTTAGCCCACAAGCACTGCAGTTGTGGTTATTAGCCTCTGTGAGCTGGGGTGACTGGCGTTCACCTTGCCGACGCACACCAGCTCTGGGGTAGGGGGAAGAAGACTGTGGTCTGGACATTTCATTCCTCTCTGGGGCTCTTGGTGATGTCCAGTGGGGTTCTGTTAGCACTGAGGGTCTACTCAGTATTGGGGTGCCTGTGGGCAGCACACACTCTGCCCTAGGATGGGGAACTCAGAACCACATGCCGCTCAAGACCTGGCTGTCAAGAACAGGGACACAGAGCAGTCGGGTGGCGCCTGCACTGCTCACCGCTTGCTGTGAAAGGAAATCATCTTGGTGGCATTAAATGGCTTCCTGGCTTTATTCTGTTATAAAACAGTCACTGTGGCAGAGCTGATGCCGTCCTGACACTGCTTCCTTGGCATCAGAACAGTTTTCTTCACCAATTCAAGCATGGCGTAACATTTCAAAGGTCTTTAATAGACGCTTTCCAACTTCATCTCCATGGAACAGTTGGAAAATGTCTCCAATTATAGAAGCTTTTTGTAAAATGTCTCAAAAACACAGAAGGGCTTTGTATCTTTCATAAGTACAAACATTTAATACTCAAAGATGAAATGAAGAGTAGCAGGGTATTTTTTTAAGGAATGCCTGCTCTTGGGTCAGGTCAATGCCTTTTCCCTCTCTCGTAACAAACAAGTGAAGATATTTACGTTTTAGAATATTTGATACAAGTAAGCCTTGGAAAGATTGGAAAGGAGGAACTAGGGCCAAGGAGAGATTCACAACAGTTGTCAAAGCTGGAACCCTGCCAAAGCCCTGGGGTAACTCGGGGAGTTGGCTGACGCTCTTCCTCTGGAGAAGGCCCTGGAGGGACTCCCAGGAGGAGAAATAAGGCCAGGGCTAGAGTCACCAAGTAAGCCATCCTTTGGAAGCTGAGGTCCCACCTTCAAAAATGGGGTGTTCGATCCTCAGCACCACATAAATAAATAAAGAAATGTGTCCAACTACAACTAAAAAACAAAGATTTTAAAAAATGGGGTGTCTTCATTTTGTGTGTGCAAACGCATGCTATACGTGTGAGGGACTAGGAGTCTACAGCAGGTAGACTATACCACGGGCCTCTCTCTACCCTGACTCAGGAAGAGAATGCCATGCCCCTTGTCTGAGGCAAACCGATGGGCCCTTAGGCCTGCTCACCAAAGCCTCATCTCAGGACTTCCTGGGTTACACTGTGGGAGCCTGACTCTGAAGGACCACCTGTTCTCTGCTTCCCAGAGAAATGAAGGAAGATGGCCCTCTCCTCCACCTCCTGAGGCATACCATTCCCCATGACCCTGCCTCCAGGAGCCCCATCTCCAGCTGTGAGCATCTGCCACATGCTGCTGTTTGGCAGGCCAGGGACCCTCCGGAACACTCCATAACCTGCTCTTCTACTGGCAACTGCCCTGTGGAGGGCGACGCCTGCTGTTCCTTACAGGGGAGCGCGCTGAGGCTGGAGAATCTGCAGCCTGACCACAGCCACAGCCAGTGAGTGGCAGAGCCGGGATGGGAACCCAGGCTCATCCACAGCCCTGTCCCCTCTCCCCTCTGCCAGGCCCTCTCCAGCCCTTAGGGCCTACCTGCTTTGGTGAACTTGTCTGCCATCTCCTTCCGCACAGACCTGGTGAGGTTGAAGTAGTCATCGTCCTCGTCAATGCTCTGTAAGAACAGCGGGATGTGCTGGAAGACGATGGCGTGCTGGCACTTCTGCTGCCTAGCGAGGCTCAGCTGTTGGTCCAGCCACAGGTCCTGGGCCTGCTTCAGGGCAGGGCAGCTAGAGGCGTCATACCAGAGCTGGGAGTTGAGTACCAGGAACAGGACACCCCCGACCCAGAAGCTGAAGTAGTCATCACCCCAAGTCTGGCAGAACTCTTCAATAGTCTCTGCTGTGGGGACATTGCCCAGGTCATGGTTGCCACTGACGAAGACCAGTGGGATCTCCCTGTCAACGGCTCCCAGCACTCGCTGAAGGTCCTTGGTCTGCTCCCTCTGGAAGGGCATCCCTGGAAGAGTGAAGGCCACATCCTGAGCTGGCTGGAGACTACCGAGGTCTTTACTAACATAACTAAACCAGAGACAAAGTCCAGATTCACCTCACCAGGCACATGGAAACTGCAAAGTAGTCACCTGCTAGAAGCAAATCAATAGGGGAGCTAGAGTCCCAGTCCCTCCTCAGGACACCTCAGAAATTCAATGTCCACCTGGCCGTTTGCCCCCCATTGCTGAGTGGTGTTGTGGAGTTGATCCTAACATTAAATATCAGTGAAGCTAAATTTCTATCTTTCATTTCTATGCACACTGAATATAGACGGTCCCACCTTCTCTGCTACATCAGTGGAGCATCATGTGCATCCTATGACAAGTGGACCCAACCCTGAATACCAGTCGGGCACCAGTGGCTATGTAAGGTCTTCTCATCATCCACGTAGCCTTACAGATTGTGCCACACCCTCATGGGAAAAATCCTTTGAAACCGAGTGGCTAGATTGATGGGAACCTACCTCGTGCCAAACTCCCTGGACACAGGAGGAGGCATTTTGTACCCCACCACAGTGTGAGGCATAGGGCTCCACACCTCACTGCAGGGCGTTCTCTGCCCCCAGCACCCAGGAATGATTATTTTGACAGAGGTGAAAAATGTATGGGCCGGCAGGACCTTCCTTCTTCAGACTGCTCATTTCCTTACTTTCTGTAATAACCTACTAAAGCTTTCATAAATGGATTTCAGAATTTATCCAATTGCACATCTATTTTTTGGAGCCTCCCTGTGAATTCATCTGACAACTGTGCACTGAGGACAGGCAGTGGAGGCACTGACTTAGTGTGGGTGAGCTGGGAGTCAGCAGGCACAGGGCCCATCCCAAACCCAGAGTCAGACAACCAGTGGGGTAAATCACACCCATCTGTCTTTAGTGTTGTTAAGCATTATTGAGAAAAGCGATGAAGCAGGCAAGGACACACCTCAGGACCACATCAGTCCTGAGGATTGTGACTGCTGTCAGGCAGACAGCGTAAGAAAAGTGACAAAAAGCATTTCCCTAAGGGGAGGAAAATCCACCAGAGAAAGGGTTACATAAGACAAGATGACATTAAACCCAATAACGCTGCACGTGGACTAAACAGAAAGGTTGGGGCAGAGGGGGAGGATTGTTGTACATTTCAAAATAAATGTACAAATGTTTTATGAACATTCCCCCACAAAGAACCCATGAATGTTTGTGGTGACAGATATGCTCACTACCCCAATTTGGTTAAAATATCACAAGGTACTCTACAAAAAGGCACAATCATTATATCTCAGTTAAAAATAAATATAAGGGGGGAAAAGTCCTCACAAAGCAATCACAGCTATGACCACAATGCAGAAACAAAGGAACCGAGTCTCAGCAGTAGATGAGAAATAGGGTCCAGCAAGATCAGGAAAGAAATGGAGAAGGACAAAACTATTTTGGAAATGGCACCTACAAGGAGATGGCCGTTGGCGAGAGTTCGTTGTCCAGGTGCTCTGAAAACCCCAGGTGAACTTGTGAAGAATACGTGCTCCACCTGGTGAGCAGCAAGCTCCCATATTTCCACGCAAACTCCTTAACAGTGCAGTTCTAATCTCCCGTGTCATTCCTCCTTTCTTTTGGCCTGTTGACATGTATTAGCTTCTGAGAGACTCAGTTAAGTCACCACTGCGACTGTGGATCGATCATTCCTCCCTGTAATTCTGCCAAGTTTCATTCATTTACTTTTAGTTACAGTATTAGACGAAGAAGAGCTCAGAGTTTCAATACCTCACCAAAATGTTTTTTATATATAATCCTAATCAAATGCATAAATAAAGAAAAAAGAAAGAGACAGAGCTATATTGATGCTACAGAAAGATCCTTAATATATATTAAGTTAAAACATGAAACAAAGCAGAGTAAAATCATATGAATTTTTTTAAGGCTCAGAGATATTTATGTACTTTGGATAAAAATACCTTGAAAGAGCCAAAGGATCTAACTCTGGATAATTATGGGAAGTGGAGTGGGCGGTATGGAGACCTTTTATCTTTTTCTTCCCTCCTTCCCTTTCCCAAGCTTGTGGAGAAAAAGAGAGGACAAGATGGAGAGAGGGCGGGAGGGGCAGGGGGAGGAGTAGAAATGAGAGAAAATATCAGGACTTTTTTTTTTTTTTTTTTAAGAGGTGTTTCTTGCCCCAGATCCTAAAGACTCAGAGGAGGTAAGCCACGGATCTCTAGGAACTATCTAGGAACTAGTAGAATTTGCTTGGGAAAGGCCAGCAGACCCACACTGCAGAAGCCTGCAGCCCAACCTTCTCAGCCTGGGAGAAGCAGGTCCGGCCTGGCATGGGAGACCAGGAGACCTCTCTGGCAGTGGTGCTGGGGCTCTGCCAGTGGTCAGCTTCTGCCTTAGGCTGGTCCAGACTCTCCTGGGGTCTGCTGTGCCATGAACGATGTGGCTTCTTAGCTGAACCTGGACTGTGAGCATCTGTGTTCACTCAGGTGACCCCTGAGACACCACTGGGCAGTTCCTTCTTGAGCTGACCCACCTAAAGGGCACTCCATAAATTCAAGTAAAATCATCTCTCCTTTCCTTATTGTTTTTTTTTTTTTAAAAAACACCCCAAAGCACCCCTAGCTTCCAGGGGGTTCTGTGATGCTCAATGGCAGCTGATCCCCCTAGTGATTATGTGGACCAGGTCCTATTCTAAGACCTTGCTTGATGCAGGTGCAGGAGCTAGGTTCGCTGGGTTTGAACCCTCAGTCTGGCTCAGGGCATTGCCTCATTATGGAATCCTGGTAACAAGCAAAGGTGACTTTTCTCAGTCACCTTAATTCACAGGACTCCATGATATTCCAGGGTGCAAAGATTCTCCCATTCCTTTCTTTCAAGGGTATCTGGGTTTGCATGTGAGTTAATGACCATAAGCAGGAAAGAAAGACCAACTCAACACTCAGGGAGGAGTCTTGCCTGCGAAGCACTCTACAGTGAGAGCTGGAAATCACATGAATGGAATGCTTGCTTCACATCCAGGAGACTGCTGCTCTGGGAGAAACCACAACACTCCAACCCGTCGAAAACTTGGAGCCCACTGTGTCTCCTCGCCCCGAGTCCAGCCTTTCCTCCACAGCTTTGCCAGCACTTTGCATGTTTCCCATGTAAAAGTGCTGGCAGCGGAGCCCATGAGACCCGGGCTTGGTCTCTGAATTCTGAGTTGACTGGCTTTGGGGAAGGTCTCAGTCTATGTCCAATCAAGTGTGAAATGAAGGTGACAATTCCCAAGCCCTGGAACAGCCATAGGGTAGACCCAGATAATGTGTTCAGAGTTGGCTCTAAATAAGGCTGTGAAAAAACACCAGGTACCTCCCTCCCCTCCCCCACCAGATAGGACTCCTTCCTTTTATCACTGAGTGTGCATAACAATGAATGAATCATTCTGAAGGAATGAAAGCATTACCCAGGGATAGAGATAATTTTTAATTAGGAATTTAGAAGTAAAGAAGTGAATTCTGGATTACAAAAAGCCAACTTTAATGAAAATACACTTGTGTTTAACAAGCTCTTATTTGTGTATATTAGAATCTCTTTAGGATCAGAACTATTAACACAACCTTAGCATTATTATCACAGCTCCCAGTGTATCTTAGTACAGCTTCCTGAAAACAGTCACAGTCTTGCACACGTGAGGAATCTAAGCCAAACCTCACCAGCATCATGAATGGGAAGATGGGAACCTGGCCCAGGACCTGTTCCCAGCAGGCCCTGCGCTTCACAGAAAGGAGACACACAAAGAAAGGATGGGCAAGGTTACAAGAAAGGACTTCCAGGAGGGGAAGAAAAGGATCTTCCTGGGAAAGTCTTTAAGGTGGATGAGAGGCCCTTGTCTAGGGGGTGGCTAGAGAACAGGGACCCCGATGTCAACCCCCTCCTGCCCCTGGCTGAGCAGAAGCCTGGGTGGGCTGACAGGGGCAAGGTGGAAAGCCACGAGGTGTTCAAAACCTTAAAACTTTTCTTTTTCAAAGTGTGATGAGATAAAATAGAACCAGGAAGCAGTGGCTGGGGTTGTGGCTCAGCGGTAGAGCCCTCACCTAGCACGTTCGAGGCCCTGGGTCGATCGTCAGCACCACATAAAAATAATTAAAATAAAGGTATTGTGGTCCAACTACAACTAAAAAATGGATATTAAAAAAAAACAGGAAGCAAAAATATTATAATAATTACAAAACATTCACATCATTCATTGACTGAATTTTAACAAGATATGGTATCAAGAAATGTATCATTTATTGCTGTGGATATCCATTAAAGCACAGATTATTATTTTGGTTGTGTTCCTAATAGCCCTAATTTACACCATCTAATAAAATCTCTTACCATGGCAGGAAAAACAAATACCCTTACATTTAATGAAGGACTGTAAGAAACTTAGGACCAACAACAGCACACTTGATGGTGTTAAGTCCACGGCTCCCCTCCCCGCCCAGACAAGGAAAAGGTTGAGCAGGCTGGCCCAGCACTCTGGCAACAATGAGAAAAGGCAGAGAAATTGAGAAGGAAGAAATAAGTCTAGCTACTCTGAGGACATGACTGTCTCCATAGAAAATCTGGAGAATCTCCAAAAACAAACAAGTTTCTAGCACTAGTAAAATTAGCTTGGATACAAGGTCAATATACAAAAATAAGTCCATTTCTATATCTTAGCAATGAAGGACTGAAGTGTATCTAGAAGAGGGCAGAGGACCTGCAGAGATACTTCTCCAAAGAAGACAAACATGGCCAGAAAGCACACTGAAAGAGGCTCAACACCACCAGTCATCAGGAAAACACATCAAAACCACAATGGGACACCACCTCCCACTCATAAGGACGGCGGCAGAAAACAGCAGGTGTGGGTGACAACATGGAGAAATGGAAACCTTGGGCACTGCTGATGTCAAATGGCACAGCTGCTGAGGGACATGATGACAGTTCCTTACTACACCAATAATTACCAGATGACCTGCACATCC